TTTTTGCTTGGGGCGGCAGAAATGCTGGAGCCGGTCCTGACTCGGACCCACAGAATGCAGTGTAGACGCGCAAGCCCTAGGTTAACACACCCAGGTCTGCTAACTCGAGTTCTACTAACGCTGGGCTCACACTGACCCCTTCTTGCCCAGCATGCTGGCTTTTGTGGATCCCATTCTCAGGTGCCCGTCTCTCCCTTTTCATTATATAGGGACCGTAGGTGCTGGCTGAACGTTAGACCCTGCAATGCCTGCGTTTTCATCCGGATTGGGGATGGGAACATTTTTCAAAATGTCAAACGTTTTCATGGGCCAGGAAAGCCAGTTCCCACCCCGACCTAGTACTGAGTACCCTTGAAAAGCCGGCTACTTCATTTCGGCACCTTAATGGGAGCTGAGCGCTTCGGAAAAGCTGGTGTTTTGCGCCTCTGATTCTGACATGCTTCAAAGAGGAAGACCCCAGGGCTTGTAAAGGAAATACAAACACCGTCCCCTTCCAAATGTTTCATTTTGATATTCATCTCAGTTGATACCATGCTGCCCACAGGCGCTGACTTTTGGTTTTGTCGGCGGGTGCCCCATCTCCGCCCCGTCCCTCCCCCCGACTGTCCCGCCCCCTCTCCACTTCTTCCTGCCCCCTCCCCCAAGAGCGCCTGCCCTGAGTGCCTCCAGCCTGCTCCTCTCTGCCCCCTCCCCTGAGGCCGCCCGCCTGCTGCTCACTCCTTTCTGCCCCCTCCTGCCTTAAGAGTGAGTGATGGGGAAGGGGGCAGAGAGGACTGAGTGCGGGGCCGCCAAACAGCTTCTGGGCGGGGCTGATCAGCAGGTGGGGCCTCCTAACAGCTGATGAGCAGGTGGGGCTGCGGAACAGCTGATCTGCGGCCAGCCCCGGGCCAGCTGTGGAACTACTGTTGCTGGTGGGTGCTGAGCGCCCCCTATTTTTTTTCCGTGGGTGCTTAAGCCCCGGAGCACCCACAGAGTCAGCGCCTATGACACTGGCACTAAGTTTTCAGCTTTTGTTCTGCTTCCACGGAAGTTGTTAGCTGGAGCTTCGGAGTGGGTGTGTTTGGGGGTTGTAGTGTACCGGAACTGAGGCAGGATCTCTCTAAGTAGTTTGAGCACCCTTTGGGGCCATTCCTCTCTTCTGGGGTGGCAGAAGCCACCTGACCCAACCAATCAGCAGTGGGTGTATGTAGCCAGGCCTTGTATCTCTCTAATAAGATTCCAGGATCCTTGTTGAGTCTAGTTGTGCTGCGGTCGCATGTCAGATTGCAGTGTAGACATTCCCTTAAAATGACAGCACTTTAAACAAAGAGATTTATCATTGCAGAACATTGTTATGCTGGAGGGTGTTCATGGCTGCCGTCAAGCGGGTCTTTGATTTACAGGCAACCACAAACCTGGTTAAAGCCCAAGCTGTGCACCCTTCTTTCAGGCTAAAAGGAAGGAGCAATTAAATGCCCCGGTGTGTAGTGATAGCTGGAACAATAGGAGGCTACCGCCCAAAGCACTGGGCCACAGAGGTGAGACACTTGGTCTGAGGGGTTTCCCTGATTGCAAAAGCAGGAACGTGAGGACCAATTGGTTGTGTTTGTGTGAGAGAGAGGCAGAAAGCCAGCAGACAGCCAGAGAAGCAGTCATAAACATGGCCCTGGAAGGAAGCCTGGAGAGAGATCTTCTGGCATACAGGACTGGCTGGGGAGGCAGACGTGGATTTCTCAGCATGTTCTTTGTTCCTACTGTATTTGGGAAAACAAGGCCCTTGTGTCTGCCCTCTGTAAACAAACAAGGAAATACCTGACCCGCTGTGACATTCTGGGGACTGCCCAGACCAGTAAGGGGGTTTTGTCATTGCCTGTGCTGTAAGCTTTGGGGGCTTTTGTACCATGGGGCTCTGCTGCGGATCTCCAACACCGGTAGCCAGCCCACAGGGCAAGCCCTCACCAGCCCCGTTAATCTTTGCAGGGGGACAACAACATCCCCTCTAGTGCTGAGTCTCCACAAATCTGTCCTCCCTGAGGTCTTACTTACCAGACACTCGGACTGTTCCCCTCCTATTCATCACTCCTGAAGGTGTGAAACCAGCCACCCAGCCGCCTGCTTACTTTGGCGCACCCAGGCCGCACTGTTTGCCCCCCACAGACCCGCTCAGGATGAAAATAAACATAACGTTTATTTTAATAGAGAACTCCCAGATTCAGAGACAGGAAAGCAACCACACACAGGTGACACAGAACATAAACTGAAAGCCGCAGCCTTAGGCGTGACACTTTCCTATTAGATGAAATCCCGTTTCTCGTGATAGATACCTATTGCCTGAAATGCATTTCCCAGCTTACCCCAAAAAGATCCAGCATTCACGGGCGCCCTCCCTTCTCGAGACCGTCCCCCAAGTTCTGGATCCAAACCCTCCATCCCAAGGCTGTTTTTAAAAGGCTTAGGGGCTTGTTTCTTTTTTATTATCTCAGCCCACGGTGATACTGGCTAATCAAAATGGCTCTCCTGACTGAAAGAGTCCAGCGGAGGGCAACAAAAATGATTGGGGGCTGGAGCACATGAGTTATGAGGAGAGGATGAGGGGACTGGGATTATTTAGTCTGCAGAAGAGAAGAGTGAGGGGGGATTTGATAGCTGCTTTCAACTACCTGAAAGGGGGTTCCAAAGAGGATGAATCTAGACTGTTCTCAGTGGTACCAGGTGACAGAACAAGGAGAAATGGTCTCAAGTTGCAGTGAGGGAGGTTTAGGTTGGATATTAGGAAAAACTTTTTCACTAGGAGGGTAGTGAAGCACTGGAATGGGTTACCTAGGGAGGTGGTGGAATCTCCTTCCTTAGAAGTTTTTAAGGTCAGGCTTGACAAAGCCCTGGCTGGGATGATTTAGTTGGGGATTGGTCCTGCGTTGAGCAGTGGGTTGGACTAGATGTCCTTCTGAGGTCCCTTCCAACCCTGATATTTTATGATTCTATGACTCGGTGCACATTGCAATTTCAGGTTGTCTTCCATGGTTTTCCGTTTCCCTGGGGCTGGGTGACGGAGAGAAACTCGAAACCGTTTTTGTGTAAATTACAGGTTTGGGAAGTACCTGTGTCTGCTTGCCGCAGTGAGCAGTAAAGTTCACAGATTCTGAGCCCAGTTTTCTATATACACGAAGACATACATTCATAACCCCAGCATAGCTTATACACATGACAAGCTTTCACTAGGGTTACCATATTTCAGCAAGCAAAAAAGAGGACGGGAGGAGCCCCACCCTAGCCCCGCCCCTGCCCCTCCCACTTCCCGCCCCCCTCAGAACCCCCAACCCTCCCCCCCC